CATACTTAGCAGATTGTTTGGAGAAAGGAAGAAAAGAGGCTCGCTTTTTTTTTTTTTTTTTAATTCGCTTCTGCGCATTATCCTATTGCCCCTCCCCCCCATTTTTTTTTTTTTTTAATTAGACAAGCATTTTGTTCTGGGATATAATTTACCCTTCAGGTCCATGCATTTAAATGCAGATAGGAAAACAGCTGAGCTACTTTCCTTGTGGGCATTAGGGTGGTTAGGAAAGAGCAGAAACACAGAGGAGCTTTTGCTCCATTTCCTCTTCGTTGCCTGGCACCTGAGTCTTTCACCAAGTGTTCAGTTAAAGTCAGTCCATCAGGGAATCACACACCAATTTTCCATACAAAAATGGGGAGTTTAAAATATCTTAGAGATTCCACAGTTAAGCAAGTAATACTTTAAATGGGTAAATACAATTGAGAAGAAAAGCAGATGTCCCAAACAATAAGAATCTGTTTAGTTGCTAAGTTTGAGAAGGCTAAACAAACATCTTTTGCCTCTGGCCCCACTTTGATTACAGGCAGCCTAAATGGCTCCTTTCCTGGGCGATAGCTTGCTTCATGTTTGCCATTCTTAGAAGAGGCAAAGGATCCGAAGGAATCCAAGCCGCAGGCCTTATCAAGTCAAGTCCCACCCAGGAGCATTCTCTCAATGGAAAGGTCTTGCTTTCATGGTCCATGCTATTTGTAGTACCTATTATTAGATCTTTATTTTTGTCAGACAAGGATTGCATGTTCATTTTAAGGGAAAAAAATTTTAAAAATCATACCTGATTCTTACACCCAAAGATACGGTTAAAATTTTTAGTGTCGACCTTCCTGACGTTTTTCTATACGTATATACATTGTTTTGTAACCTGTTTTTTCACTTAATGCATTGTAAAAATCTTTTTTCTAATCCATTATGTGTCTACATCATTATTTTTAATGGCTCCATGACATGCTGTTATATGGCTATACCATAACTTATTTAATCAGCTTCCTGTTGTTGAACATTTTGGTTGTTTTCATCATCTTAAAAATTCTGTGCACATCATATCTCCTCTGATTATTGTGATAAAGTAGAATTTGTGGGTCTAAAAAATATGCATATATTTCATGCATCTTTTAGTATATATTACCAAATTCCATTCCCAAAAAGTCCTATTCCTCCCCAGTCATTTATACATTTCTGGTAGTGTGTGAGAGAGAGAGTTCGTCTCCCCACTACCACAGTAATGGGATATTGTCATTCCTTTTTCTCTTGGCCTCTCTGATGGGCAATGAAACACTATTTGTTAGTGCTACAGTGAAAAGAGTAATGTGTGCTGTGTTTGTGTAAAGAGGCAGGATTAACTATATATCAATCTGTTGATAAAAGATAGGGAGAGAAGCTTCTCATAGGAAACAACCGAAAAGTCTTCTGCCAACAAAAGATTACATACAAAATAAGAGACTTTCATTCCTTCATAGCTGTCTTGATCCCCTGTTGGTACCATTTTTGGTTTTCACAATTTAGAAGGTACTACTGCATCTTGTGACTAGAGGCCCGGGGTGCTGCTAAGAATCCTACATTACACAGGACAGCTCCCCACAACAAAGAAATACCCAGCCCCAGATTTCTCATCTCAGAAGTAATTCTGCCAATGAGAAGGGGAGCTCCGGTGTCCTGCTACATCTGAAAGTAAGAGCCGAATGTATCCTTCTCTTACAAGGCTTACTCTTTCATCAGACTGTGCTGATATTTGAGAGTTTGGTGCATGTCCTGTTTATCTAAAATAAGGACACCAGCTCCATGGCATGAAGGTCTACAGAACTCCTGGACCACTTTGTGGAAGGACAGGGCCCCTGGAGACTTAGCCAGCTGAGGGGAATTACTGGTCTAACTGGGAAGCAGAAGCACTAGAGCACCAGGAAGGGTATAATCTCCACTGAGATAAATAATCATGGTGTGAGAACTAAGGGAGTCAGTTGGTGGGGAAGGAAAGAGTTGGAGATTACCCAGTGGGACATTCATTTGGTCAAGAATGTCAGGTTATAGGACTCATCACTAGGACCCTGGCCCAGCATAGGCTCTTAGGTTTTACACTTGGGGTTAACATTCAGAGAAGTATCATCCGTTGGAAGACACGATCTATTCATGCCATGCAAAGAATCACTTCACGTGAGGAAGCCATTTCACTGTTGCTCTTTCCAGAGAGAACAACTTAAGGTGCTGGTGCATTTCATGCATATGTAATGTTTACTATGGACATTGTACCTACCCATCCTAATAGTTGTGAAATAAATCACTTCAACCTATCTACTGGAAAATGTTTCCAGTTAAACCCAGTAAGGGAATGGGGAAGTGAGGCAGGGAAAAGAAGGAATCCAAGCCGCAGGCCCTATCAAGTCAAGTCCCACCCAGGAGCATTCAAATCAAAGGGAGCACTAGAGACAGTGTAGGGCACACCTCAAGCTGCTCTGATCAAGGGCAAAAGAGCTGACCTGTGTGTGTGTGTGTGTGTGTGTGTGATTTTCGTTTTGTTTTAAAATCATTAAGAGCGGCCCTCAGGAGACTTTCTCTTAATCTATAGTGACCCTGGCTCTCTATGCACCCAGGCAAAGTGGGCTTGGCAGCTACTAGGCAGCACCTGTCAGAGACACAGGGATATGAACAAAACACCAATGTCATCTGCTATAACCATAATCTCAGAACAGTCCTTCCCACAAAAAGATACCTACCAGTATTCACCAAAATAATTTTTTTAAAGACTTTATTTGAGAGAGAGCAAGTGAGAGAGCCCAAGTCGGGTAGAGGGGCAGAGGGAGAGGGAGAAGCAAACCCCACTGAGCAGGGAGCCCGACGCGGGACTCAATTCCAGGATCCTGAGATCATGACCTGAGCTGAAAGCAGATACTTAACCCACTGAACCACCCAGGTGCCCCAGTATTGACCAAAATAATTTCTTAAATTACTTTTGAATGCAGAAAAAGACAACTTTATGTATATTATATTTACCCATTTTCTCAATAACAGTTTATCAGCTTGAGTACCCATGTATGACTGTACAGCATAAAAGAGCAGGAGATCAAATATATTGCATTTGTCATAGTCATCAAAAGCAGTTTCAGGAATTTCTACTTCCAGCCAAGATTAGACTAATAGGACCAAATTTACCCTCCATCCTGAAACCACGTAAAAAATACATGAAGCCGTTTTCAAGACACCGAACATTTGACAAGGAAGGACAGTGAACGTTGAGAGATGGCAAATGAGTGAGGTGTGCCATATGGTTGCCCCAGCTGACTGCCGAGGGGTTTCCCGATTGTGGAGCAGGGAGGGAAACCCAAGAATAGCCTGGTGGTCTCCCTGAGGTAGGGAAACTGAGCTCAGAGTCTGGAAAAGCCAAAGTGGCTTGACTTTGCTGCTCTGGTTACCAAAGAGGGAAGAGCTGCACAGAGAGAACCCAGAGATCTATAGAGGGTCCCCCTCAAGTCTTGGGCGGAGTACTGGTTAGTGCACATGTGTGAGGAAAACAACCGAAAGGATTAGAGGTAACTTTCTGGAGCTCATAAAGGGCCCCGAATTTGTTTCTGTTCTCACCAGTCAGAATGGAAAATCTCATGTTTGGTGTGGCACTGACTACCGTACTGAGAAGGGTCTTTGCCTTGGTGATGGGGAAAATTCGCCCTGGTCTAAACTTCTGGTTCTGCCTAACTCACTTAAAAGCAAGACCTGAAAGAATCAAACTGTTTCCAGTAACAACCAATTCCAAGAATAAAGCTCAAGAATATTTATAGGAATACAAGAATCTATAGTAGTCAATAATTTAAAATTCATGGTGGAATACTGTGAAGAATGCAAATTAATCTAGTGACAGCAGATCCCTGGTTGCCGGGGGGGTGGGGATACTTGGGAAGGGTGGGAAGTAAAGATCACAAAGGGGCACAAGGAAACTTGGGGGTAGTGAGTGTGTTCATTATCTTGATTGTGGCAACGGTTTCATAAGTGTATACATATGTCAAAGCAAGAACTAGTTTCATAATCTACTGGGAATATTTTAGTAATTTTTCTCGGAATTGGAAATACTCTGAAATACCTGGGCAAGGCCAACGATCTCTAGTCCACAGACCATCTTGTTTTGTTTCCTGCTTTGCTCCTGGAGGGCTAAGAAGAAGACTGTGATCACAAGGCAAGTGTCCAACCATAAAGGCCTGGGGGAAGGTGGTAGTTGAACTAGCTTTAGGAACCATGGCCCACAGGCTCAAGTCTAACTTCCTGGCCTAACATTCAAAGCCTTTCCAGCCTCATCTTCTGCAGACTTCACTCCTTTTCTTTCTCCTCTGCTCCCTTCACCCTTCGGTCCCATTAGATGGATCATCTGGCCCTGGACAGGTCATACTTTACCTATTTTGTTGATTCTGCATAGAATATCCCATTCCACTTTTATGACCACCCCAGACAACATTAATCCTCCTCTCTTTGGTATTCCTATTGCCTCCCGAATTATTATTCAACAAATATTTGCTGTTGACCTTTTCTGTTCCTGGTAGTATTCTTGCTTGAGGTTGACTTGATAGAAATCCCAAGCCTCAGGGGCTGACAAGCATGCTATTAAAGAGACAAACGCAAAAACAAAGACTGTCATACAGGTGAGTACAGGGATGGATATAGATTGGCCTTCTAGGAAGAAGAGTCCAGGGAGTCTGGGCTCATCTCTTCTGCCCAGGACCTCCAAAGAGTCTTCATAGCAGAATAAAAATTTTCTGGCTAACAGAAGGGGGAAGAGCCCTTCCAGGAAAAGGAACCATGTCGGTAAAAGCATGGAGCTCTGAAACAGCAAGGATGCACCCCCTATTTCTTGGGGCTGTGGGAACAAATCACCACAAACTAGATGGCTTAAAGCCATAAAAATTTGTTCTCTCACACTTCTGGAAACCAGAAGTCCAAAATCAAGATAGCAGTAGGGTTGATTCCTTTTTTTTTTTTTTTTTTAAGATTTTATTTATTTATTTGAGAGAGAGAGAGAGAGAGAGAGCACAAGCAGGTGGAGGGGGAGAGGGAGAAGCAGACTCCCTGCTGAGCAGGGAACCCGATGCAGGACTCAATCCTGGGACTCCAGGATCATGACCTGAGCCAAAGGCAGACAGACGCTTACTGACTGAGCCACCTAGGCACCCTGGGGGTTGGTTCCTTCTTAATGTTCTGGGAGATAATCCATTCCATGCCTCTCTCTTACATCCTGGTGGCAGTTGACAGCCCTTGGCATTCCTTGGCTTATAGACCTATAACTCCAGTCTCTGCCTCCACCTTCTCAGTCTCTGTGTGTGTTAGCTTTAGGGCTCACCCTAAGTCCAAGATGATATCATCCCAAGATCCTTAATTATGTCTGCAAAGATTTCATCTCCAAGTAAGTTTTCATTCACAGGTACCAGGGTAAAGACTTGGATATATATTTTTAGGGAACACTATCCAACCCATCACACACACACCAAGAACTGTAAGAAAAATTGTTTCTACCAAGTTGTACTTTTTTTCCCTGAGTTTTTATTGGGGGATACAGTATTTCATTCATTATTTTTCTAATTTTCCATTCTGATTTAATACTTTCCCTAAGACTTTTAATTATTCATAATCTCTCATCTTGCATATGTCATACCTCAATTCCTGTGTGAAATATGGGCAAATAAACATATGAACTGAAAAGCATCTATCAGACTTGGGGACATGTGGCTCCTTGGAATGCGCGGAATGAGCAGCCAGGAAGAGGAGAGAATGTATGCCTCTTTTTAAATCCTTGGCTAGGAAAGGTTAACAGGACAGAGGATTCTGGCTGCAGTCAGGTTGCCATTGACATGAAGGTGCTGAAAGAGAAGGGGATGTTGGAGAACTGAAGAAAGGATCCAGAGGGCTGAGCAAAAGGAGCTGGAGCAGGTATGCAGACAGGAACAAGGTGAGGAAATGTTATCCTCGTGTCTCCCTTTTGACAGAATAAGGGACTAGAGGAGAAGGGAGTGGGGAGGTATGAAAGTACCAGCAAAGGGAAGGGGAAATGGGGAGGTCTCAGGGGATCACTGCAATGGTGCTGGGGACCCAGGGCGGGTCGGAGACCAGGAGTCTTGTATTCACATGAGAAATGGTTCTCTCTAAAAATGTCCTGTGGCTGCCCAAGTGAAGGGAGGAGGTGGGTACACACTCGAAGGATTTCCTGTGGAAAAATCAGACTGTCACTTCCTTCTTTCTGAGTTATCTACTTCACTTTTAATATCAAAGAGTTCAGTCCTGTATATATAGTAGTGAGTAGTCCTTTTACATTTCCACATAGGCCCCCTGCCCGTATGGCTACCAAACAACTCAGCCTCTTATCCATGACAAACCAGTGTAAACACATTGCTAGTCAGATGCTATCACAAGGAAAATGTGAAATTTTGACCTATGATAAGGTGTGACCTCTCTGGGCCTCAGTTTCCTCGTTACAGAATTGGAAGCAATGGGATCAGCCTGGATGAGTTCTCAGTACTCTCTGCTCTGGTATTCTGTGGTCTGATGGTCATTAGTAGCCCTTGGCTTCACCAAATCAGAATCACTCTTGATGACCAGTGTGCAGCACTGCCTCCCTATGGACATCCCTTGGTCTAAGAGCAACACAAGTCCCCAGCCTGCCCGGCCCTGCCCGCCAGGTTAGCAACTCATGGCCCTTGCAGTAAGCATCACCCTAACTGTCTTCCATGACCTAGCCTCTATGGACCTTCTTGCTCTGCACATTCCCCTTCTCTGTCCATCTTTCTAGCTGCTCTCCCAGGAATCTTCTGATTCCTCCTCACCCCACAAGCCACTCCCTCATTCCTGCCTCACCCAGCAATCCCTTAGGTGTGGCTGGTACAGAGCCTGGGGACTGTGCCGTGATCATTGCTGAAATGTCACACTTGTGGTCATTTTTAGGAAAAGTTTGTTATCCTTATCCCTTGATAAGGAACATAATCCCTCCAGTAGATACTGCTTCAATGGGAAACCCAGTTTCAGCATGATTCATACCCTTCACAGCACCTTTTTGAGCACATAGCTGGCCTTAAGTGCTTAGAACTGGCTGTTCTGTAGCAGCTTCTGGAGGCAGTCCTCTGTTTTTAGCTTACCCACAACTAATAGTTCAGTCCCTAATGTCACAAGTAAGGACAAGACGTCATGTAAGAAAACAGGAGCCACAGTTCCCACAGCAGAGGCAGATAGGAACCCATAAAGAGCCCAGAATTTACACCCCAACCCATGCCCTGGTCAGGTGTGGCCCACTGGACCTCCACTGAACTAGGACAACCCAACTCAGTAAACACTTCTTGAGCATCTCACCTGAGCCAGGTCCTGTGCAGACATCGAGGGCTCCCTCCCCTTGAGGAGCTCTCTCTCTAGTGGATGAGACAGATGCACACCCAACTCAGTTCTATAATGAATATTTATAGGATAGCTGTTATGTGCCAGGCACTGCACTGAAGCCAAGATACAGTGATGGTCCAGACAGATATGATGCATGCCCTCGTGGGACTCATAGCCCACAGAGAAAACGGACGCTGTGCAAGTGATTGAGTGCTACCGAGAGCACGGTTCCTGGTGTGGAGGAGGGGCTCACATTACCTGTTGATAAAATCAAGAGATAAAGGCCATCTCATCTTGATCTTTTCTCACAGGGTCCAGCATGGAAACTGCTACAGTTAGACCTCAGTCAATGAATTTAATTCACTAGTCCCCAACCCCATTCTGTACATGGTGTTACCAAAGCAGGGATGACTAAAGCTTCAGTTCACTGGACTGGAAGGCTTCACTTCTAAACGGAAAGGTCCACGGCGGCTCTGTCAGGAAGATGGCTTCAGGCTGGAGAGGGTGAATATGAGCTCACATTGTAGGCTTTGGCATTACAGAGCTTGCTGGTATTGCTCCATCAAGCTTCAGAAAGACAAAACACGACTAAACTTTCTAAATTATCAGTGTGAGGCCCGTCATTCAAATGGAAGATAAAAGCAAAGAAAATGGAAGTCCACTAACAATGCTGGAGCAGAAACAACCCTCATCTTTCAGAAAACAGCCACATGTATACTTCCTTCGAGAAGTTTCGTCCAGGAAGACTAATTTTTTTTCTAATCAAAGTTCACTGCTTTAGAGAGAAAGCCTATGGGTTTTAGTACTGTCATCTGTCATAACTCATTATACATGTTTCTGCCCTCAGAGAGCTTCCCTGTTAAATGGGAGAGAGAAGCCTTGAAATGGATGGCAGTAACTCAAGTTAGAGGACTGGATGTGGGGCTGTGCGGGAAGAGGTCACTTCCCGTGTTAGTGGTGGTGGAAACCCAGGAGAACGTCACAGAGGAGGTGGCATCGGAATATGCCCTTGGAGCATAGGGAAGACCTTGAGATACAGGATAAGAGGAAATGCATTTCAGGAGAAAGCCAGGGATGGGCAACAGACTGACCATAGGAAAATCTAGGGCACACCTAGTCCATTGGCCTTCACTATGGATGACATGAGGGTGGAGGGAGATAAATTGGAGCAGGATTACTGGAGGCTCTGAATTCCAGGCTGAGGAGTGTGGTCCCCCGTGTTTCGTTTTCCTCATCTATAAAGTGGATACCATATCCTCTCTCCTGCAGGAATTAAAGCATCAAATATATATACGAACTCTATATATTACTTGCAGAGTGTCTGACACTCATAGAAACGACTCATAAAGAGCAGCTGATACCATGGCAGTGGTAGCAATAGGGAACAATCATGGATTTTGAGTAGAGAGATGGATGGCACTCTTGGGGATGGGTTTTAGATTCACACAGCACTGCACCAATTAGCACTTTTATAATGTTAGTCCTCTTATACATTGCTTTTCTCCTAAGGATTGAGTGTCCTTTATCTGCCTTTGCACAGAGAGGTGGTAAGCAGTTGTATCAGTCAGGGTTCTCCAAAGAAACAAAACCAATAGAATATGTATAGAGAGAGAGATTTATGTAAACTCACGCAGTTGTGGATGCTGGCAAGTCCAAAATCCATAAGGCAGATCAGCAGGCCATATTTCTGTCTTATAGGGTTTTTTTGTTTTAGAGATTTTATTTATTCACTTAACACGGAGATAGAGAGCACAAGCAGGGGGAGCGGCAGGGAGAGGGAGAAGCAGATAGAGGGAGGGGGAGAAGCAGGCTCCCCGCCGAGCAGGGGATCCCAGGACCCTGGAATCATGACCTGAGCCGAAGGCAGACGCTTAACTGACTGAGCCATCCAGGGGGTCCCTCTATCTTATAGTTTCGACGCAGAATTCCTTCTTCAGGAAACTTCAATCCTTGCCCTTAAACCTTCAGCTATTTGGATGAGGCCCACCCACATTTAGAGGGTAATCTCCTTGACTAAAAGTCAATTTGTTGTAGATGTTTTTGGTTTTTTTTTTAAAGATTTATTTATTTGACAGAGACAGAGAGAGTACAAGCAGGGGAAGTGGCAGGCAGAGGGAGAGGGAGAAGCAGGCTCCCCGCTGAACAGAGAGCCTGATGAGGGGCTTGATCCCAGGACGCTGGGATCATGACTTGAGCTGAAGGCAGATGCTTAACGACTGAGCCACCCAGGCACCCCAATTTGTTGTAGATGTTAATGACATCTGCACAACACCTTAGCAGCATCTAGACTGGTGCTTGATTAAACAGTGGAGCACCATGGCCTAGCCAAGTTGACACATAAGATTAACCATCATAGTGATCTTTTCAAATATGAAACCTGGGGCAGAGAATGGCAAACTGAGGCAGAAATTTGATTAAATCCTAACCCCTAAAATATGGCACCAGGCCTGCCAAGTAAGTTTGGAACCTTGGTAATTTTATTTTATTCCTGCTTCCTACATAAAATTCCCCACAGAGCAAAACCAAGCTGAACGTCCTGGGGCATATTACACCAAACACCGATGAAGGTGGAGATGCAGACTTTGGCTTGGTACCAAGAAGCCGTTCCTGACTGAAGTTTCCAGTGGGACAGGCCACCTGGGATGCAGCAGACTTGTGGTCCCTGGAGGTGAGTGACCACAGCTTAGAAGAAATGCAGGTGCCTGCTGAGAGTGGGACCAAGGACCAGGAGGATGCTGCCCAGAGGGTCTCTGTGTTCTGAGCACCCTACATACTAGAAACCCTGCTGACAATGAGCAGTGCCCTCAGAATGTCCCTGCTTCTTCCTCCTCTTCACACCCCTCTGCCACCCCCAAGTGAGGCATCAGAGGTTGGGGCAGAACGCAGAACCCTGAAATGGAAACCATCTGCGTGCCTTTCTCACCCTTCCTCCACCAGCCCCTTCTGCGTGGCCAGCCTTGCCTGGGTAACCTTTCTGGGAGGGGAGCTTGTCAGACCCGCCTCTGTCTCAGCCTCTGTTCACACTCCATCTCCTCCTCCACACCCACCCCAAGCAGAGCCTCGGGGTCCCAGGGGATCCACCATCGGCCTGGACAAGTCATGGGTCACCAGCCACCTCTCTTCTGTGCCTACACCCACTAATCATCTCTTCCTGGTGATTTGCATGGCAACCCTCCTGCACTTGGCTGCTCAGGGGAGTTTTCTGGCTTCATTGCCTCAATTAACCTCAGTCTCCTGGGCCACTCTGGATTCCCCTGCCACCCCACCGCAGACCTAGCCTCTGAAACCTGCCTGTCTATGCTCCAAGGGGGTCCTTGTCTCTTCACGAGCCTCCCCTTCCCATCAGCAAGCCAGGTTTATGCACACAGCACCATCCTGCAAGGGATGGGGAGACTGGCTGTGGAAGGAATTGTGACGTTCTGGTGGGTCTCAGAGCCACAAATGGCCTAAAAGATAGTCTAGCACACCCTGGCCCACCCTACTACTGCACTCTCTTTTCACACTGAGCCCTGAACAAGGAATAGGCTTACCCATGGGCATATCTCAAGTTGGAGAAAGAGCCAGGCCTAAACCATGGGGCCCTCTCCCTCTGTGCCCTCTTAACCAACTGAGCCACCCAGGCGCCCTCCCTCCGTGCCCTCTATCTCCCTCTGCTACACTTTGTCAACAAAAAACAGCTTCTCTGCAAACTTCAAGTTAGGAGTGAGTGGAAAATGTGCTCAGTGTTCAAAAATTGAGTCTTGACAGCCTTGTTCCCTCCAGGCACCGTCTGCTCAGAGGGCAGCTGTTTATAAGAAGCTCTGGGCATAGCCATGAGCTGGGCTGTGGCCTGGGAGCCAGAGGGCTGAAGGGAGAAGAGACATTCCTCCCAGCCAGGTGCTCTCTGGCATGGTGGACTGGGTACCTCAAAAGTAACACGTCCCCCACAGAGTCACCACGAGGAGCCAGGGAGCAAATGAATGCAAAGATACAGGAACCAGACATGAGGATGGGGAGAAAATTGGGAAGGATGTGGGGAGCAGTAGGAGATCCAGGGAATGGGAGGAGACACCTGCAGGCCCTCAAGTTCCTGGACCCTCAGGGGCCAACACAAGTCCCAACCCTTGCTATAAAATATTGTCTCAGGGTTCCCACAACAAAAAAACTCTTAAGATCAGAGAGTCACCATTCTACAACTTAGAGGACATTCAGAAAGTATCAAGTCTAGAACCCTCCATGGTACATATGGGAAAACTGAAGCCCCAACAGCCTCAAATCCCATAGCGAGTTAGGGGCATGGCGAGTTAGGGGCATGGCCAGGACAGGTGCCTGCCTCCCAGTGTGGGACTCCCCATGAGCTGGGAATGGGGCATGGGGGCAGAGTTTGGAGAAAGCATGAAGCCTGGTGGGGTGTTGAGCCTTTTGGAGCCCTAGAGGCTGGCAAGGCACAAACACCACAGAGGAAAGCTGGGGTGTCTAACACCAGACTCCTGAGGTGCAGTGGAGAAACTGGTGTGGCTGTGATGGGGAAAGGAGGACTGTGAAAGTGAAATCTGCCGTTTGTGAGGGGAAACTGAAATGTGGTCTCCATTCCATGCAAATGACCTGTGGCCTTCAGTCCTGCACCTGCACAGCTCACAACATACACAACGCAGCGATCAGATGGGGCTTGAGTTCCCACGGTCTGCGCTCCAGAGAACAGGGGCAGGGAGGCCTCCCTGGCTCTGGGAGGGATGTGCCGGGATGTGCCAGGATGCCCAAGCTCCATCTGTAGGGTCTGCTGAGCTGACAGCAGTTGTCCTTTGCACCTGGCTGAGATGACCATCCCCCTAGGGACAGCACTCCGGGTCGTCCACAATCAGCTCCAGATTCACTGTCCTGCTCCTCTCCTTCCACTCCCTCTTTTGTTCTTATCCCCCACACCAAGAAACCTTTCACTCCTGCGAGAATTTGCTCATCCTGAGAGCCCCTCAAGAGTGAGTACTGTGTCGGGTTCATCTTTGTATCCCAAAAGCCAAGACCTTCGCTTGGCCCCATTGAGACCAGTGATGGCAAACGTCTGGCATGCATGCCACTGCCATCCCAGTCAGAGCCCAGGGCAGACATTGCTAATCAGTCACAATTACCTTCCCCTTGGCATCTCAGAAGGCTTCTCTCATCGACACAGGCCCCGCCTGTGCAACCAACATGGGCTCTCTTGACAAGACTGGTGACCATCCCTGCGATGGGGCAATACATGTGTGGCTCAGATCTCAGCTAGGGGCTACTGGCCTCTCAGAGATTTGGCTCCAACCCCTGGTCTGTGCTTTCCGTTACTGCTGAGAGATGTCAAAGCCGACTTTCTCATGCTGCCCTCATGCTGCCTCGGCCTCACTCCCGAAACAATACAGGCCAGGAATGCAGAACCTTTCTCAGTCCTCATGCGTACACATACGTACATGTTCACCCACAAACACACTCACGTAGGCTTGCACACGTGTACACACTTGCACTACACATGCTCACACACTCATGTATATATACACACCCACATGTGCTCATACGTGTGTACAAATTTACACACCCACTCACCTATGCACACAGTCACACACACAAATACACTCCCATTAAACATTTTGTGAGTTTCTGGAAACTCAGTGAAGATTTGGGGGCCAAAGGGAGATGCTCCATTACACAGAACATACCTTCTGACTGTCCTTATGGTTCCCTCTACCCACTCTCTCATCTCCTCCCCATCTCTTCCCTCCATTCCTCCAGTACTTCTCCACCCCAGTGTCAAATTTTTGTCCCTTTGTCTTGTACAGCCATTCTGCCACCTGCTCTGGAGCTGGAGACAGTCTACACCCCTCCCTGCAGATCTCAACTCACAAAATAGTCTCCCCAAGAGCCATTCGAATGACATGTTTCTCCATCATGTTTCCAACATTGTTACACATAAATGGATGGCTGTGACAAAGGACAATTGTCTACAGCTCTCCATTTCCCATCCTAAACTAACAACAGTTCAATGACAAACACCGTTTTTAGGTCCCTACTCAGTGCCTGGGCACTGTGCCAGGCAATGCAGATACAGAGACGGCACTGCCCCCAAAATCACACCCAGCCTAATGGTGAAAGCAGAGACATAAAGTGAGGAGTGAAGGATGTGATTAATGCTATCCCTGGAGGCAAAGGAACAACTTCCCGGCCATGATAGGAAGGATGACCAAATGCCAGGCGAACAAGACTGGGGAGGTCATCTCAGCAGGAGGCACAGCACGGGCAAGGGCGGAGGGGGGAGGGAGCCCAGGTGGCGCTAACGCTGGGTGTAGGGCTGTAGGTGGAGAAGCAGCATGGAGAGAGCAAGCAGAGGCCAGCCTGAGCCAGGGCCCAGGGGCTGGGCCGTGACTCCCTCCTGCCGACGAGGGGGCCCCCGGACCACTTATGAAGGCCACAGTTTGAAGGGGAGCTGTATCGCAGACATCTGCCCCCGAACCAGCTGAGCTATGTGCCCCTCTCCATTTATTTAGCATTGGCGTCTCCCACAAACACACTCAGAGGCACCCAGGTTCTGATTGCAGTCACTGTAGATTAGTTTCACCTGTACTTGAACTTCATCTGAATGGAATCATCCAGTAGGAACTCTTTTTACCTCTGGCTTCTTTAGCTCAACCTGTCTGTGAGATTCACCCAGGGGTAGAATCTTGTCAAGCTTTGTTTCAAACATTGAGAGTTGGGGCACTAAACTTGGAGGAGCCCAAACTTAACACAACGGTTTCCTAATCACCCCACCACAGAAGCAGAGCTCTCGTGAAAATTAGCTTTTATCCTCTTCCTTCAAAAGCTTACACAGAACATAAGCCTCAAGGACCATAACGTATAGTGGGTCCCCCACCCACATTGAGTAGCAAGGGTCTCACTCCAGTCCCCGGTTTAAGAGACTCTATTAAACCCAGGGTGGATTTTCTATGCCCAGTGGTTTTTCATTTCGTCTTTTAATTTCTACTTTAAGGACTTAATTTTAACAAAGGAGCCAAATTACCACCACGCTTTAAAATGAACTTGTTTAGGGGACTTAAAAACAGGCTTTAGAATATGGAGCTTTAATTAACTTTGGAAAATGGTAGTGAAACAGCCCCTGTGCCCCATCTCATGCTTTGCAAAGGCAAGAAAGGGAGGCCTTGGCCAACCCCTGGAGCTGCCTGAAAAGCTTTAATGTTCCCGTGCCCAGGCTGCAAGGACATTAGAATCTGTTGGGCTGGGAACCAGACACCAGGATAGTTTTCTAAGCTCTCAGGCAATTCCAATCGGAGGTGCATCGGAGGCTGAGAATCTCTACTTTAGATGGATTGACAGCTGTTGACAGTGATGGCATGAGGGATGGGAAGAGAGGGAAACAAGGATGAAGCTGAGAGACAGAGAGGTCTTCACATCAGAAGTTAGCTTTGGAAGGAACCAAGGGGGCCAGCAACCAAGCCAGGTGACACCAAGGGACGTTTCCAATCTATAAGGAAGAGTTCTGTTATGAGCTGAACTGTTCTCCAAAAGTCATATGGTGAAGTCTTAAACCCCCTGACCCAGTACCTCAGAAGGTGACTATTCGGGGACAGGGTCTTTTAAGAGATAATTACAGTAAAACGAGGCCATTGGGATGGGCTTAATCCAATCTGACTGGTGTCCTTATAAAATAAAAGGAAATGGGATCAAGAGACACCAGAGGGCACATACACAGAGGGACAACCCTGCAAAGAGGCACCCAGAGGGCAACCATCCACAAGCCAAGGAGAGAGGCCTCCGAGAAATCCTGCCAGCGCCTTGATCTTGCATTTCCAGCTTCCAGAACTCTGAGAAAATGCATTTCTATTGTTTAAGCCCCCCAGTCTGTGGTATCATGTTATGGCAGCCCTAGCAAACTCATACAAGTTCCATTTCAGCTCTTTGGCCATATGTAAAAAGTCTCACAAGCTTCACTCCTCTGACCCAGTATCTCCACTTTCTAGGACTCTGCCCTAAAAGGAACCAGAAATGCCCTTAAAGAATTATCTGCTAAGATGTCCGTAGAACATTCTTTATAACTGTGGATATTGCAGATCATCAACAGTGGAACCCTGGAGAAGTAAATGATAGCGATCAATTCAGCTAAGCATGAAGAAGCCATTATGTTATCAAGATTTCTAAAGTTGCACATTCAGCATGACCTCACACCTATGCAAAAATGCACTGATCTTTTTTTTTTTTTTTTTTTTTTTTTTTAAAGATTTTATTTATTTATTTGACAGAGAGAGACACAGCGAGAGAGGGAACACAAGCAGGGGGAGTGGGAGAGGGAGAAGCAGGCCTCCCGCAGAGCAGGGAGCCCGATGTGGGACTCGATCCCAGGACCCTGGGATCATGACCTGAGCTGAAGGCAGTCGCTTAACCAACTGAGCCACCCAGGCGCCCCAAAAAATGCACTGATCTTGATCGAAGAACCTCATCCTGAGATCTCCTAATGCCACCCGAGGATTCAAGGCATGTGTCTATTTTCTCTGATCTCCAAATCCCAAGTTACCCACAGGTAACCAGCCCCTCCCCAACACACACAGACCCACAAAGGGTCTTCTAGCTTCCCAGTTTATGCCTCAACCTACCCATCTGTATCCCAGACTCATACACAGATGTATAAATATGGAAACATACGATGAGCTGTAGCTGCACTTCACTGTATGTAAGTTATACATCAGTTTCATGAAGTATTTTAAAATGTGGTGTAGAAAGGCTGGCAGTTAATATGACATGGTTTGTGGAGCTAGGAGGGGCTGGGCAGGAGGCTTGGTTCTGACTTGAGTTGGAAGCATGGAATCAGAAAAGGCTTTCCCTGAGAGGTGGCTCTTGAACTAAGGCTCAAAGGTGAAGGAAGAATGAATGGTGGAGAAAGAACATCTCAGACATGCTCATTCAAAGGCTCAGAGGCAGGCCAGTGGAGGATGCATCCAGGTGGAGAAAGTGAAGGGCACTGTCCAGGACTGGGGTGTAGAGTGTGGTGGGACAACACAAGGGATGGGATGGGGCCACTGGGCTGCAGATGGAGTTGTAATGATTTCATTAAGGATCCTAGCACAGCAGGTCAAGGGTAGCCTGTGTTGTCCATGATCTCAGAGAAGGGTCAGGTGGCCTTGCCAGCTGTGGCATGCAGGGGAGAACAAGTGGGATGGGGGTGGCTCTCGAGTTCACATGAAATAGGAGGTCCCAAGTCACTGTACTTTGGGATACAGATGGATGGGCCAGGCGCAGGCTAGACTACTACACTGTGGGGGAAGGGAGGGAGGGAAGGTGAGTACTACTAGGGAGCTTAAACTTTGGGAACTATGAAGGTAGACACAGTGTCCTAGGGTGGGGTGAGGGGATTTCAGGACAAGGTCTTGGTTTGTGGCCTTAAACCCAGGCCAGCACAGAGGTTCTTAGCTGATCTGTTTTCCCTTTGTTTTCATAAGATCAGACTGGGAAGGACTCAGAGATTCCCCTCCTCCTTTTGCTTTATTTTGTTTCACAATGACCTTTCATTGTCCCCCCCCCACCACCCTCACCCCAATTTACAGAGGGAAACACTGAGGCCCAGAAAAGGGAAGAGAGCTGAAGAGGAAGGGGAATGTGAGAGGGTTAAGTGATGTGAACCAAGCATGTAAGCGATCTGTCAGGGGTCCAAAGCTTGGCTTGGGGCCAGCAGACCCCCTCGGGCTCACTTCAGAGCAGCCTGGACCGGGAGGCCCTCAGACGGCACCTTGCCACCCTGAGAAGCCCCTGAGCTAGTCATTGCAGGAGTGTGACCAGGGTAAAACCCAGAAATGCGCCTGGTGTGTTTACAGCGATCAGCAGCAGTTCCTGCTGAATTTCTGTGGGGTATTTTGGTTGGGTTTTTGGTTTTTTTTTTTCAATTATCCAGATTAGTGTTCAGTGAATTCCCGTGTTTAAAGAGCTCCCACTTAATAAGAGCAGCTGTCAAAGTGGAAGTGGGCTTATGTCGGGCCTGCCCACTAGCTGGGGTGCTTAATGGGCAGAAGCCAGCGGGGGTCCCCCCAAACTCCACCCTCCACCTTCCCATGAATTAATTCCTCCTTACTGTGTAAACAACAGGGGCTTTGTAAATGCAACTCTCTCTTTCATGTGTAAGTACATCTGCTTCCATGATGACCTGGGACCCCAATAACCAGCCCTTTTCTCTAGCGGAGCCACACCCTGGTTCTTGATGCTGAAGGGACTGGACAGGCAAGTTTGAGACCACTGGGGTCGGGGCGGGGCTTTGGAAGGAAGACAGGGAACAAAGATGTGCCGTGAATCAAGACGTGAGTCTGTTCAGCCGCTCGACCATCATTTGGTCAGGGTCTCCAACCTGGAGGGACGCCCCACAGAGCAGACACCCTGGTCTTCCACCTCCAGACCTTGACCTCTGCTACTCCCTCCCGCCTCCTTATCCAGCAGAATCCTACCATGCTCAGCAGCCAGCTCAGTCATGCCATGGCCAGGTGAGTGGGCAGCACAGACCTCTCAGGATTGCTGCAAAAATTCCACAGTCCCAGCCACCACCAGGCCCATCTCATTCTTGCACCAGCCACACAGCCTCTGCGGTCCCCCAGTGCTTTGCACATTTGTATGCTTGGCCTCAGAACAGTAAGCATTGAAGTTGCAGAACTAAATGCTTTCTAAGTCCCACTTTTTAAAAATGAAAATAGAACTACCGTTTATATAGATATGCATGTGGATATTTGGGAATGTGTGCGTATACATAGAGGAATATGTCTTTTTGTAGATTCATAAAAAAAATTGAAGGATGCATATCAAACCGTTCCTCTTCCTTACCTCTGGGAAGTGGGTCTGCTGTCATATCAAGTATTGTTTGAATGTATTATGAGCATGTATTATGCTTTTAAGCTTTTAGCTGATGTTTCTGACAAAGAGAAATTTCCTGGGTTTGCATTTGTCTTCTTCCTGGCTGGACCTACTTCTGTCCCCCAGTCCAGGCAGAGCATGAAGTGGGCAAGCATTTTAGGTGAATCCCACAGGGTGAAAGGGTCAGCCCTGGCCATCCCTCCATGAGGCAGTGATGCTGTTCACTGTTGCATCATAGGCCCTGGAAGGGCACTCGGGGGGTTCTCACTAAATGTTTGTTGAATGAATAAATGAATGAATGCCCAGTCTGAATGATCACAGATTCTGAATTTGTGGGTCTGAATTAATGTTTTTTTAATGTATTAACATTAGGAATCTAAGGAGACCCTGAATTAGAGGGTACCAACTGAACAGGACTTAGAAATGTGTTATTCTAGGCTTAATTTTTTTTCATTATAAAGTAGCAGAACTGTATTTCAGAAGTTTGAAAAATAAATAAAAGAAGAAAAAGGTATAATCACGCCACCCTAAAGCAACCATTCTGTATTTTTCTGCAGTTCCTTCAGGGTATATGAGTGTGTGACCATCTATCCTTTTTGGTTTTTTTAATATTTATTTATTTTAGGGAGAGAAAGAATGTGCAGGAGTGGGGGAGGGGCAGGGGAGAGGGAGAGAGAGAATCTCAAGCAGACTGTGCTGAGCGCAGAGCCCCATGCAGGGCTCGTTATCATGACTCTGAGATCATGACCTGAGCCTAAATCAAGAGTCGGACGCTTAACCGACAGTCACCCAGGCACCCCGTGTGCCCATCTATTGTAACTACATTTTACATAGTGGACTGCTCACACAATTTTGCATGTTTTTTTTTTTTAAACTTACTGTTATACTCTAAGACTTCCTTTAATCCCATTATAAAATCCCCAAGCTATTATTTTATGAGTGGAATCAACTCCATTAAGAGGACATATATAATTTATTTAGCCAATCACCTGTTATTATATTGAGCTAATGTCCTTTTTATATTATAGCACTGTATTAATTTTTTTTATTTACTAGCTTTTGCCCACTGTCTTCATAATTTTACTCTGGGGAACCGTTCAGAGATTCTTGGGCACCACCAGTCTGTGTCCCCAGAAGCAGAGGAGAGATGAACAATCTCAAATCTCAAATCTCTTAGCTGGGCAGTAAACTTACCAGTCTGCACAAGATAAGGAGCTCATACTAGAGAGTAAAGCAGCGCACTGCTTTCTTCATTGAGAAAGTCTTGCTGTGGAAAAAAAAAAAGCATACGTTGTTTATTGTGGACAAGTTTACATCTTGGTGAATTGGCGTAGTTGGGTTTCGGAAGAGAAAAACAGTCCCTCCTATGAGCCTGGTGCTGGGCCAAGGCCTCCCCTTGCAACAACGTACAAAGGACACCCTATCTCACCACTACTCCTGTGCTTCTGAGCATTTGCTTTGTGTTCTGCCAGGGTGTGTGGGTGTATGCAGGTTATGGATGCCCCGTACCCCACCGTATACAAGCATGAACAGCCAGGGCTGCCCCTAGAAGGGAGGAGAACAGGACAACTCAATTATCAGGGGCCATGATAACAATCATACTGGGGACATATTTCATAGGACCCTTAGGATATTGTTAAATGCAGAACTTTTATGAGTGAATTTCAATTATTCTCATAACTCAAAAAAGAGGAATAAGACCATCAAGCAAAGGAAGGATTCGGAGGAATCTAAGCTGAAAAGGGACATAGTCCTGTTTGCATGTTTGAAGGAACAAACTACTCCATGGAGAATAGATTACAGGGGATGAGACCAAAATTGAGGAGTCTAGTGGAAAGGTTAAGACTAGAGCAGCATCCTCTGTCCTCCCTCATCCACACCTCCTTGTGGGAAGAGCATACGCTCCTAGCCCTGGACTTTGGATTTGGTCTTGTGAGTTCCTTTGGTCCATGGAATGGGGCAGAAGTGACCAGATACCAGTTCTGAGCCTTGACCTTAAGAGGCTTCCCATGTTCCACTTGCCCTCTTATGCATCTGCCATCACCAGGAGAAGGACGTGTCCAGCTAGCCTGCTGATCCTGGAGGATGAGAGGCATGTGGAGCTGAGCCGCCCCAACCACTTGCAGCCCCACAGGTGAGCCCAGCTGAGGTCAGTAGAGCAGCAAGGCCATGTGAAGGGACTGCCTGCTATTGCAGGCCACTGAGATCTTGTGATTGCTCATTAGGCAGCATTGCTGCAGCAATGGGGAGCCGACACAGTGGCGATGGAAAGAAGTAAGCAAAGCCAAGAAGTAGTTAGGAAAGCAGGTGGAGTTGATGGTCACCTAGGTGTAACTGACTGTGACTGAGGGTAACT